GTTCAATCAAATCAGCTTTTACTTGTTGATGCATTTGTTTATCACGAATTCTAGTACGAGCATCCATCATATTGCCGATATTTGTAGGGATATCAGTAGAAAACGTGAGATCCACATGTGAAGTTTCGATGTCTTCTCCTTGTTGGAACTCTGAAACATCATTGAGTGTATCCATCTCGTTTGTCTTCTACTATCATGTTATGGAGTACGATACATGCTCTCATAATCTTCCCAATTTTGACTTTATCCCAAAAAAATGCTGGATTTTTAACAATGGCAAATCGAGCTTGCAAGACTCCAAAAGCACGGTCGACATTTTTACGGACAGCTTCTTGATGTTGAGAAAATAAAACTGCTTTCGGCCCTTGTGGCAATGAAATTGATTGGATAAAAGTTGCCCATTTCGAATAAATACCGTCAGTGAGGTAGTAAGCCATACGATACTCTCTTTCATTGGCATAGAAGGTGACTTGCTGAGCTTGACCGTTTATTATGTCATCAAAAACAAGTGAGCGATCAAGAACATTGATATCATTTAAAGTACCTAGCGGTCCAAAAAAATGCATGTCATATCCATAGATCATACGATGCAACCGCCTCTAAAACGATTGTGGGTTTTCCCGAACCACGTGAATATTTCCATTTCCAAGCGGTGAGACAATTCTTCCACACCCATTGCATACAATCAATGCTTCCTATCATCCCGGAAAATCCACGACACTCTCCAATATCACGTAGACACTGAAGATATGTCTGTGTTGGTCTTCTTAGGTACTCATCACCGAATATATTTATTATGCCTTCCACAAAATGTTTGACACATGACCGAGTAGTAGAACCCCCGAGTCGGAGGTATTCGTCAACATAATCAGCCGCAGAACCATATGCCAAGACACAAATGGCTACTGTACACTTCTGAAGTGGAGATAGACTAGGCCTTCCGTGAGCATCTTGCTTATGCTGAAAGAATTCAACTTGATTGGAGAGTCGATCAACAATATGCATGAACAACGGTTTGTTCATTCTAAAACGTCTTCGAAAGAAATTTTCAAGATAGGTAGGAGTTTCGCTGAAATAATCATACCATAAAAAAATGCCCTTCTTCACGATGTCTTTTGATATAAGCTTGTTTTTTTTCCTCTGTTCTTCTTGATCACCTTGAATGGTAAAATTTTCAAAGGCTTGATCAAAAAGCTCATCAAATGCATCATCAAAAGCTTCATCTAAATTGTTTTCAGAAGAAGAAGCCATATAGAGAATTTGAATCCAGAGAGAGAATATAGAGAAACTTGTGATTAAAAGGAAATATAGTGATTGAAGAGAAATATAGAAATTAGAAAGTTGTGATCATATATAGAGAGTTGAGAGCTTTTGTTTGTTTAGAGAGAAAGAGTAAAAGAGAATGAAAGTCGAGTTGTTGCTTTTGTATGGTTTACAGAGAAAGGTATGTTGTTGTTTGGTTTGGTTTGGTTTAAGTGAAATATATAGAGAGATAGGTGAGTTTGCAGAGAAAACAATGTTATTGTTTTGTCTAGTTACGTGAACCATGATTCCAAAGTACAAATGAATTAGATTCGTGATGCAATAGAACAAGATTCAAAAGTACAAATGATGCAAGAGTACAAGTCACATGATGCAAGAGTACAAAACACAATAGTACAAACACATGGAGAAGACAAGACAACACACTTACTTTCTTCTCTTCCTCATGTTACCAACATCAGTCTTAGAGGATTAGCCTTCTTCTAACTTGATTGCCGATTTGAACAACTTGAACTTTTCTTCTCTCAGCTTCTTCTCTTCCTCATGCATCCTTTGAAGCAATCCTTCTGAACTCAGGTTCATTGTCATCTTCCGATCCCTCCACTCTAATCAAGTATCCCATGTTATTCCTGAATTCTTTTTCTGAAATCCACCATGTCTTCTTCTTCATCATCTGATATGTCTGCTATGTCTTCTTCTTTTTCATCTGATATCTCCACCATATCTTCTTCTTCTTCTACTGCATCTTCTCCTGTGATATCCGCAACAGCATCATCTTTATCTTCTGCTGGGAGAGATGGGATGATACTTTTTGCTGAGAGACCACAGACAATCGATTTTCTTGGTTCCATTTCTGTATGTATGTGACTTGGAACCCTGAAAAGTAAAACAATAAAAAGAGAAAAAGAAACGCATTAGAACACATCAAACAAAATAAAAACAAACTACTAAATATTCATATCAAAGGAAGATTAACTTATATTACACATCAGTCTTAAGCGCCACAACAAGATTAATTTATATTACACATCAGTCTTTAAGAGATTACATTGTTAACATATCCCAGTTTTTCCTTAAGCGCCACTTCTAATTCACTAAGTGGTTCTGTTTTTTTAAGAAGTTTTTCTAGAATTTTTGCGTGGCTAAGTTTTTCCTTGTAGTGGCTAAGCTTTTCCTTTGTTGCTATGTCCTTTGCCTTTAACTCCCACATTCGCTTAAAACCTTGCAGATTTTTGCCTTCTTTTTCCACTGACCTTTTAGCCTTCGCCTTGGATGCTTTAACACCAATAGGCCTAGCCGTTGCTTCATCATCTCCATTGACACTGGCCATAGATGCTGATGACTGAAAAGATTGTTTTTCTCCCACCCTCTTTCTTTTTGAATAAGAGCTTTGTTGACTACTTCCATAAGTTCCACACCATTTATGATCATTCCTAAGCTCCCTCCACGCATGCTCCAATGAGAACTTCACCCTGTAATCATGTACAAATATTGCGTGTGCAGCCTTCAACACATCATCTTCACTCTGGTCCCTGGTTTTGTGTTTTGATGCACGTCATATGACCCAACAAACTTGCAGACACCTTCATTTATCTTTCCCCGCCTTTGCTTACAGTGACTTGGCTCTCTCTTAGGTAAACCAACAATCTTGGGACTTGTATTATAATACGACGCAATCCTCTTCCAAAAGGTCCCTGCCCTTTGTTCATTCAAAACTACTGGATCTTTGGAGGTGTTCAACCATGCATTGATGAGGACCAGGTCTTCAGCGGTTGACCATTTGCACCTTTTCTTAGGGTCCTCACCTTGTGCACGTGAAGCAGGTCCTCCAACTTCTGGACTAGGGGAAAAACTCAGAAACTGAGTTGGGTATTCATTATTTGGTACTTGCAAGTTTAGTAAATATAAAAAGCTATTTGAGGATCCATACGGAGAAGATTTTGAAAAGAAAGATGAAGGAGATGATAAGAAAGAGAAGGTGTTTATAGAGAGCAGAGAAGGAAGAAAAGAAGCATTCATGACAACCAACTTACAAAAACATGTTTAATTAGTTACAGTATTCATGACAACCAACATACATTAAGCTTTAGTCAATTCTAGCTATTCATCATGTTTATTTATCACACAACCGTATTCACCATAACCAACACATTAATTACAGTCGATTAGTTTTCAAACCACACCCTAAATCAAACCACATCATAAATCAATCTAACCACACCTTATTTTGCAGTGACCTCTAAAGCAATTCTAACTACACTCTAAATCAATTCAAACCATACCCTAAATCCAACATAAAGACATGATCAAAAGCGAAAACAATTCGTAGAACATAAATGTTGAACAAGGATTGAAACACAGTAAATCAACTTTGATCTATCAGTATTAATTGAAAGAAAACTAAAACCCAACAACAAACTCAACATATTCAGAGATCAAACACATTAAAATTTAATTTGAGGTGAAACAAACAAAACCAACAAGCTACAATAATCAATTACATGCATAATGAAACAATATAACAACCAGTTTATCTTTCGTTTTGAGGTGAAAGCTTTGATTTAAGCCACCCACAGAAATCTTGGAGGAGAAGACCCACTGAGATACACAACCAACAAACTACATAGAAAAACAACAGATCAAACCTAATCAAAGACATGCATAGTCAAGAAAATAACAACCGCTAACCTTTCGATTTCAAGAAAGCCACCGAGAGAAAGCTCCGTCGCCTCGAAGAGAACTACTGTGAGAGAGATCAACGAGAAGAGTCACCGAAGGAGACATCGCCGATGAGAGACACCGTAGGAGCCGTCGTCGGCAAGAGCCACCAAAAGAGACGACGAATCGCCTTTCCTCGAGGAGAGTTTTTGAGAAAGAGAGAGAAATGATCGAGAGAGAATATAACCGATTTTTTTGGCCATTGATAGGCTGACATGTGTCCTTAAAGGACGGACCTTCCAGACCTTACGCAAGGGACGAGTCTTGGACTTGTGTCTTTTTTATTTGTTTTTTTAATTCAGTTTCGGCTAAAAACTGGGTTAAGAACCAAGCTTTGTTCATGCTCTTATAATTCACTTTGAAATGAATATAAAACCAGTGACGGGAAGAAAAAATAAATCCAAAATAAACAAAACGATTAACTGAAAATTAGGTAATCGAACAATAAAAAGAACACACGCGCGGTACACGTAGCGTACGACGCAGCCAAAAAAAAAGGAAAGGCTGACGTATTCTATCTGACCGCCAAAGAAGACAAAAACGAGTCTTTGAAGAAATCACGAAGAAGAAGAAAACCTTTCCTAGGAGAAGTCGACTCTTCTTTAGCTCATTGAATTGAGCTTTCCCAAACTCAAGCAAACGGATTGATTGTTTCTGTCTTCCTTAGCTTTCTGACTCTTTTTTTGGTAATTTCTGAATTTTTGTTTGCTTGTTCGATCGACGTCGGCTCCATTTGAATTTTGGGTGTGATCTATGGTCCAGGGTGTTGTAATTTTGTGAGATTGAATGTGAAAGAACCGTCTTTCATCACCTGACTGCAACATTTAGGGTGTTGTTAGCAGTAGTAACATTTGGATTTGGTTTGTTTACTTGATGCTAATCTCTCACGATTAGGGGTTTTCGTTATGTTGGGTTTGGATTTAGATCCATTATAAAGCTTGTGAGCTTTTAAAGATATGTTTTTCATACTCTCTTTGTATTGCTTCCTAGGTTGTATTTTAGTGTAGAATCCAGACACCATGGGTGACCACATTAGGAATCCATTTGCAAGTGCAAGTGGAAGTGGAGGAGCAGGGGGCAGTTCAAGTGCGAGCTCCAACTCTAGTTTTAGTAGCAGCGTGGCTGATACAGAGGATGATCACACCATTGCACGTATATTAGCTGAAGATGAGAGCTTAAGAAGAGAGGGCATGCTTGGGAGGAGACTCTCTCATTTAGATTCTATCCCCGTATGATAAAGCTTCTTTTAATCATACTCATAGCATGAGTGTATTTTTGTGAGCTATTCATAGCTTATTTTAATATCTATTTGAATTTCGTAATTGCCAGCATACTCCTCGGATTAACAGGCTAATACCCGATATAAATGATGCAACATTAGACCATGAGCTCCTCTCTGGGAGGTTCCTTATTCTTCTTATCAGCATTCCTTCATATACTTCACTGCAATCTCCATTTGATACTGATTAGATTATTCATTGGTCAAATTCCTTTTGAGGGAATATTAGTTTCCTTCTTCAATCTATATAGCTTTTAAAACATTGGTTTTCTTCTATATTTTCTCTTATTTCTTCAGGTTGGCCACATATGGTTTAGCTGAACTACAGATGGAGGGGGATGGAAATTGCCAGGTATGCCGAAAGGAACATCAATAGGAATTTTTTTTTTTTGACTCTTCAGTCTTTTTCTTTCTGAACTGGTTTTTATCTATCATATGTTATACTTGTTTGCCAGTTCCGAGCTCTAGCAGACCAACTTTTCCGCAATCCAGATTACCATAAGCATGTAAGGAAGCATATCGTAAAGCACGTACTGTCTGAGAAGCATAGTGCAACTCTGTTACTTGTTCACAAAATTAGAGTCAATGCCTTTCGGGATGCATGTTTAGTTCTATGTATAGCCAGTGCCTTCAGGATTGAATCTTTGGTTGTATATTTTGTCAGTGCCTCCAAGGATGAATGGTTAAGTGTATGTATTTGCATTGTTCATAGACTCTTGCTTTTTCCCCCATCAAGCTTATTTTGGTTCTATCTGGTGACTTGGTTTTCGGTCTGAATTTTTTTGTTGGCTTTTAGCACACTTGCGGCGCATGTCTTGAAGTTGTTATCAAAACACTAATCTCAGTAGCTCTGAACTCCTCTGAACTTTTTGGCCACATACAACTTAATAGTTAATACTTCCATTAATCTGACTTAGCATGTGCAACTTTTCAGTTGAAAAAGCAACGCAAGTTGTACGAAGGATATGTGCCGATGAAATACAGACACTACACCAAAAAAATGAAAAAGTGAGTCATCTTTTGTTTTTTGAATTTATTGTTGCAAAATATTATTATCTGATTCATTCGTGGATGCAATTAGACCAGGTGAATGAGGAGATCACGTTACTCTTCAAGCAGCTGCTGATCGCGTAAGTGTTTTTGGAAAAGATATATCATGCTTTGAGCTTACCTATTAGACTACAGCATCAGTTTATAGATACACCTCAGAGATTCTGTCTTCTCTTGAGAAACTGCATCTAATTGCAAATTCACCTATTATTCATTCACATTTTTGGTTCTTTTTTCTACTTGAATGACTGGCTGCTGACTCAGCATTACTGTAGTTTGAAGGGAAGATCTGCTTAGTCACATCATTCCGGGAACAATCCTACATCGAAATACTTCCCCACAACAAGAATCCTCTTAAAGGTACAAAACCTCTCTTTCTGCCTTGTTCGCTCTCTCTAGGCCAACTTTACTCGGTCTTATAAAACCATTTTACTCTTGTGCAGAGGCTTGGCTTAGCTTCTGGAACGAAGTGCATTACAATTCGCTATACACTAGTGGAGGTAAACAACCAAAGTCTCTTTTTGGGTTTTCAAACCATTTATTCATCTTTAGTTATATTTATATCTATGGCTTCATTGGATCTTAAATCTCCAACTTTCTGAATTAGTAGTTTCTTACGCTTCCAGATGTTCCCACACGACAACACAGGAAGAAGCACTGGCTCTTCTAGGAATGGATTCATATGTATGTTATATTTGTATATTCCTCAGATTGTGTGTGTGAACTTTATAATAACCTCACCTTTTTTTTTTTTGAACACTCACTCACTCACTCTCATTGGTTCCAAAGAACGAGTAAACGTAGATATGTTTATTTGTATAATCATTTGATTTTTTTTGACAGATATTCGAAAGTTTATTTGGAATATTCTGGATCATAACGAAAATACAACTAAGTAACAGCAAATAGTTTCATAGTTTAAAGAGGTGGACCATAATGAGAGATCAATTGGAACGGCCATGCTAAAATACATTGACATGGACCAACAGATAACGTGTCGTATCGTTTTATATTTTGGTATTATATATAGACTATGCATTTTATATTTGGGTTGAGTTTGAAACAAGTAACGCAGTGGCCCTTAAATCACAAGGAATAAAAGAATCAGTGTGGGATCTGGACGAAAAGCATCATTTAGAGAGAACCAAAGTGAGGAGTGCTCACCATATTACTCTTCCTCGAGTTGGTTGGTTCCATACAATTCATTTTGGAGTGGAAATACAAAACTTTTTAAGAGGTTCTAGTCTGATTGAGAGGAGTCGATGACTGTGGTCTCTCGTGTGTGTTTGGTTTGATTATTACCCTCCTCTATCAGTGGTTAGAAATATCTTAGAGGTTAAACATGGTAAAATTCATCTCCAAAAACGATTATTGATGAAATAATCAAAATTTAAAACCTTAAGATATGTTTACTTTTAAAATTTAGAATCAAATAAATTGTCTATAAAATAAATATTAGTTTTATGTACATTATTACATATGTCCGATTTGTGTTTTAAAAAAAAATAAACGATATACAATGATTTTTCTTAACAACCATTTAAGACTAAATTTACCAAGTAACAAAAGTGAAAGAAAATAAATGTAAAAAAGAAAAAAGAAGAAAAGAGTGGATTTGGGGTTGGGCAAGGTCATATGTGTCGATGTAACACAAAGCGAAGGAAACAGAACAACAACAACAACAACAAAGGCCACAGCTTTCTTCTTCTTCTTCTTTCATTCATCTCTCTCTTAATTTTAACGCGGAGAGAGCGATATCTTCCTTGCAACTTATACTTGTGTTTATCTCTTCAAATCGAAAACCCTTTCTCTCTCTCTCTCTGTCGTTGAGAAGCCACCCCCATCTGAAAGAAACCCTAGGCAGGGAAGACGATTTCTCTTCCTTCTCTGATTTCTAAAGTTCCCTTCTTTTTATTCGAAACCTCTAATTGGCGATCATGGAGAGATCCGATTCGAGGGATTTGTACAACTTCGTTCGCTCTTCCTCAGGTCACTCCTCCTCCCATCTTATCGAAAGGATGTTTCTTTCTCTCTCTTTGTGATCTTAGCTGCTGAGAGATCCGTGTTTTGTGTATTGCTTTTGTGGTTCCTTTCACGAGTGATGGAATGCAATTTTTGCTAAGTGTGTGCTCTATGTGATTTGATTTTTGCCTTGTTCTTCTTTCTCCTGCTTACTTTTAGAGATTTGCTTTTGTTTAACCCTGTGATTGTTGTTGTTGTTGTCCTTTTGCTTGAAAGTCCTGATTTTTATGGTCTTGACTGAAATGCATGTGTTTTGTATCTGCAGATCAGAATAGTTCACTCTTTGATGCATCTCAGTATGAGTTTTTTGGTCAAAACCTTGACGAAATGTCACTGGGAGGTATTGACGATGATGAGGTGGTCGCTCCTCCTGTTCTTGGACATGCTGATGATGATGAGTATCACTTGTTTGATAAATCCGAGGTATTTAATTGTGTTTTCTTTGTTGAAATAGTCAAAAACTGTGAAGATGTTTTACTAATACTTTTGATGATTGCAGGGTGCAGGGTTAGGATCATTATCTGACATGGATGATCTTGCCACAACTTTTGCAAAGGTTCGCTTAACTTTTTTATTTGCAAACACTGCTATGATGATCTCACTACCATTTTATACCTGTTCTTGTTCTTCACTTTTGAACTGTTTGTTAGTGATTCTAAATCTACCTCTTTTATTTGTGTAGCTAAATAGAAATGTTACCGGACCCAAACACCTTGGAGTTATTGGTGACAGAGGATCAGGGTCCTTTTCAAGAGAGAGTGAGTTTAACTCTTTAACTTGTTTTCTACTGTATTATTTCCACCGTTAACTTATTTTATGAATGAAACCTTGTCTTTAGGTTCTACTGCTACGGATTGGACTCACGATACAGAGCTCACAAGCTGGTTGGACGAGCAAGATCAAGAGGCTAACAGATGGTCCTCACAGTCACTATCATCTGCTCATTCGAAGCCTTTGAACAGGACATCCTCTTATCCTCTGCAGCCACCGCCGCTACAGCACTACAACAGTGAACCCATCATTGTACCAGAATCAACTTTCACCTCCTTCCCCCCGCCAGGTAGCAGATCTCAGCAGACATCCCCTGGAAACCTCCACCGCGCTCCTTCTCTTCCCAGTGGTTCTCAGCTGAATTTTACTGCACCTTCCTCGCTGTCAAATTCTAGATTTCATCTTTCAGGACTCTCACAAGGGCCTCACCACTATGGTGGTAATTTGACTAGATATGCCTCGTGCGGTCCTACGCTTGGTAACATGGTGCAACCTCACTGGGTAACTGATCCTGGTCTTCTCCACCACGGGGATCATTCTGGTTTATTACATAGTCTGGTGCAACAACAATTGCCTCCTCGAAATGATCTCATGTCGCAACACATGATGGCTCTCCAGCAGAGACAATCGTATGCTCAGCTTGCAGCGCTACAGTCTCAGCTGTATAGTTCCTATCCTTCACCACCACGTAAAGTCTCTTTTGGGAGTGGTGAAGTTAGGGAACAACACAAGCATAAGTCTTCTCATAATAGAAGTCGAAAGAACAAAGGCATCTCTCAACAGGCATCAGACTTAGCTAGTCAGAAAAGCGAAAGTGGATTGCAGTTTAGATCAAAGTACATGACTTCAGAAGAGATAGAGAGTATACTCAAGATGCAGCACTCTAATTCACACAGCAATGATCCTTATGTCAATGATTATTACCACCAAGCTCGCCTTGCCAAGAAGTCTTCTTCCGGATCTGGAGCAATCTCTCACTTCTACCCTTCTCAGTTGAAAGACCACCAACCTAAGTCCCGTAAAAGCTCTGACCAGCATCCACAAGTTCATGTAGATGCTCTTGGGAAGATCACACTTCCTTATATTCGCAGACCACGTGCCTTGCTTGAGGTTGACTCTTCTCCTAATGATGGAAGCGGGGATCACAAGGGTTCAGGAAAACATTTGGAGCAGGAACCACTTGTGGCAGCTAGGGTTACAATTGAAGATGCTCTTGGAGTTCTTATCGACATAGTTGACATTGACAGGAATCTCCAATCCACAAGGCCTCAGGATGGAGGTGCTCAGGTCAGGAGAAAACGCCAGATCCTGCTAGAAGGTTTAGCGACAGCACTTCAGCTTGCTGATCCGTTCAGCAAAAACGGTCAGAAGTCGGGGCTGACTGCTAAGGATGATGTTGTCTTTCTGCGTATAGCAACTCTTCCAAAGGGTCGGAAAATGCTTACAAAGTACATACAGCTCTTAGTTCCAGGTACTGAGATTGCTCGAGTTGTCTGTATGGCTATATTCCGCCACTTGAGGTTTCTCTTCGGCGGCTTGCCTTCTGATACACTAGCAGCAGAGACGATTGCTAATCTGGCTAAAGCAGTCACGGTCTGTGTTCAAGCTATGGACCTCCGAGCACTGAGTGCTTGCCTTGCAGCTGTAGTATGTTCTTCAGAGCAGCCACCTCTGCGCCCTATTGGAAGTTCTTCAGGGGATGGTGCTTCGGTTGTGTTGATATCTCTTCTCGAGAGAGCAGCTGAAGTAGTGGCGGTTCCTCGAGGCATCCATGGGAGCTCTAGTGATGGTCTATGGAGAGCCTCGTTTAATGAATTCTTCAACCTTCTTACCAAGTACTGCAGGAGCAAGTATGAGACGATCCGTAGCCAGAACCAAGGGAGTGCAGCGGATGTTCTGGAGCTGGCGATAAAGAGGGAAATGCCCGCTGAGCTGTTACGTGCGAGCCTCCGTCACACCAGTGACGACCAGAGGAACTATTTGCTAAACTTTGGTCGTAAACCGTCGGCTATTAGTGAGTCTGCGTCGCATGCAAGGGGTGGTCAGATCAACTCTGAATCTGTGATGGGTTGATCAAAAGGAGAGAGATAGAAGTGTGAAACCATGGACTTGGAAGACTATTCTGGGGAGTGTGTGTGTGGACTCGGGAGCCAAACTTGTAAGTAACTTGGTGGTGTAGGAATCTTTTTCACAAAGATTTCAGGTGGTGACAAGTGCTTTTAGATTCTGATATTTCTTTCTTTTTTCTTTTTACTTTGAACTATTTTTCTTGTTATATTGGTGGACAAATGCAAACTCTGCTTTGGTTTGTGTATTAATGACGATGAGAAAGAATGTGAAACAAGGGATAGGTTATCGGAAGAAGAGATGTCTTCTCCGAGGGGAGCCATATGTTGAAAACCCTCATTGTTTAGAAGGTTGGGAATTATATTAGTGTTTGTGTAGAGAATAATGATGAACCCTTTTATCTGGAGAATAGTGAGATTGGAGGTAGAACAGGATTAGGCGCCAGGTTTAGGTTCTGGAAGCAGCTGGGAAAAGGAGTTAGAAGTTTGTTATCCTGACATGTTTCCCACATGGAAAAAAACCCTCTTTTGGATTCCTCTCTTTCTATGTTTCTTTCTTTTCTCCTACATTTTTGTGATGGGAGTTGAGAGTACAAACACTATATTATAGAGAGCTGGTTTAGTATTTCCTTGTGGCAGATTATTAGCAATGACTCACGTTTGTTATACTGATACAATACTACAAAGTTTTTTCTGTAATGGTGAATGACTAAGCGCAGATGGTGAGCGACTTGTAATCTACAAGTTCACTTGCTAGTTATATACTCTGTTAGTTTCATGTTTGCATTTTCTTATTAATAATATTTTTTTGTTGTTTAAGTGTGCTTTTCCTTATTTTGCTAAATGATATGCTATATACAGATGAGAAATAAAACGTAGATGAGGAGAAGAAAACTACAAGCGGTTCAAATGAAACATCTTGATTTAAAAACAAGATTGGAATTTAAAAAACTCGAAGTTCATCGTCGAGTATACGGAAAAATGAAAGAAAAAAACGAAGTTAGATAACTGAGTTTTTTAGAAATGATGCGAAGAGGAGGAAGACGTGGAGCTGTAAGAGTAACTGTAAGGTATAACACGTTTGCTTCTTTTCTTCCTCTTCTCCAAAAACCTCTCCACTGATCTCTTCACCGAAAATCGTAACGGCGATTCCATTCTCACCGGCGCTAACTCTGACGCCGTTATGCCACGCTCCTTGCTCGCCATCTCTATTACCGCCCTTATCTTCATATAGTCATTGTGGTATATAACAATCATTAATCAAGAAAAAAATGAGAAAACACTTAACAACATATGTACAAGAGCAGATAGAGAATATACCTGGACCTCTACGAGATCGTATCCTCGTACTTTCCCATTATAAAGTTCATTTATCTTCTTAGTTCTTGCGGCTAAAGATTGACTAGCCATTTTAAAAAACGAGTTAAGAAGAGGTTCTTAAGATGTGAGGCAATATAAAAGTTACAACTGAACAGAAAAAAACTCACTTTGAATCCCGGCGACAAGATTCAAGTGAAGAGATCACTGGAGAGAGGCAGAGATCTAAGCTACAATTCTCCATGATCCTCTCTGCGTAAAGATTCGTCTTGCTTTGGTCAGTTGAGATGGAAGTCAAGTTATATAAATACTTACATCTAAAGTATAAATAAGAACGTGCTGTAAACTTTTTTTTGAGGAAGAAAAAAAACAAATATCTGCAAATCTGGTCACGTGCTTCATGTCTTCCATACGAAGGAAAATGTATTTTAAAATAAAAAGCATGGAAATATCGGTAAGAATTCATGTATCAATCAAAGTGTCCGAGGAAGTATCTTGACTCTTGAGTCACATATAGGTGATAACCAGGGATCGGCATAAAATCTGGAATTCGAAACCAAATCCAAATAAAATTAAAAAATCGATCCAAAATGTAAAGATGGTAAAGGGCTTACAGCTCTTGTGTCTAATTAATATATTAAACTAAATATGATAAAAGTATATTAAATTTATAAATTTATAAATTTTATATCATAAATATAAACTATTTATTTTTAAAAATATAATATGTTGTTACTAAACAAAATATAAAAAAAAATCGATCCAAAATCCAAACAAAATATAAAAAAAAAATCGGGACTTCTAGCTCAAGTGGTAAAGGGGTTACAGCTGTGAGTATCGCCACCTGAGTTCAAATCTCGGCCACTGACGAATTAACATTTCGGTATCGCCAGGGATAGAGGACCGACACGTGGTGCCATGTGACTTGTCTAGATCACTTATGTGAGACCAGGATACCTCTGATAATTCAAAAAAAAAATACTTGAATGGATCTTACTACAAACATATTTGAATTCAAAGTGTTATTAACAGACCAAAATAATTCTGAAGAAATCAATCTGAATATCCAGATTAATATGTAATATCTTATATATTAAAATATAAGTTATGACTTCATTTCATGTGTGATTTTTTTTTAAATTTGGATCATCACTTAAAAATTTTATTAATGCATTTTATTAAAACTAATAATATACAGAATCTTTCAAACACTTTAATTATAATATCTTTTGATATATTTTCATTTTAATATAAATATATTTATTTAAAAATTCTAACTAATTTGTTTAAAAGATATTTACAAGATCTTCATTTTTGATATTATCTTTAAATATTTTCACTAATTTCAAAAAAAATTTGAAATATTATTATTCATCAATATATTCAGTTAAATTTATAAATAAAAAATTATATCATATTATCTATTATATAATCATAATCAGTCATATTAAAAAATTATTATATTGAGATAAATATAATAAAATTGTATTAAATTAATAAATTTATATATTTTATTTTTGTAAGTATAAAATATTTATGTTCAAGAATAAATCTAATATGTTGGTAAGACGGGTTAATGTTAGCAAACTATATAATAAAATTAACATGTATTTCATTAAAGCTACTAATACAAAATATTTGTAATTACTTTAATCATGATATTTTTTATTTTAAATATAAAATGTATTTCTATATTAATTTTAAGAATTCTAATAAATCTGTGTAAAAATATTTTTACAATAGCTTAATACATTTTACGTTATCGTTTATAGAATGAAAATTTTAAATTATATCCTATTTATACTTTATAGTCATAATCATCATGTTAAAAGATAATTATTATATTGAACTAAATATGATAAAAGTATATTAAATTAATAAATTTATAAATTTTATATCATAAATATAAACTATTTATTTCTAAAAATATAATATGATGATAGAACGGCTTAAAATTAACAAACTATATAATACATGTCTAAAAATTAACATATGAGACTTTTGTATATAAAATAATATATTATCTAAAATGAATAAACATAAAAAATATTGGTGAAAAAAATTCCAACTTTGAAGGACGGGTCAGAATTTACCATGAATTAAAAATAAAATAATTTTCAAATATGTTTTCTCATGAATATATTATTTTTCTTAATATCTAAATGCAAATACAATAAGATAAATATATAATAAGAAGTCACAAGTAAATTTGGTTTTAAATAATTGATTAATACAACATGTAAATTATAAAATTATTGTATTTGAAATAGTTATATAAACATTTAAGTATATGATTAACGTTAAAAATATATACCACTTATGTTCTATAAAAAAAAATATGTATATAAAAGTGAAAACAAACACCCGCGCGGTTGCACGGATCAAAATCTAGTATATATTTAAAACATAAATATGTATATGTATTTTAAATATCCAATTACATATTTAATTTATATCTAAAATAAATATTTAAAATCTAAATAAATATCTAAATACTAAATTCTATATTAATAAGTATTTATAATTTATATATCCAAGCCGTGATATAACCTAAATCTGAACTATATATGATTATTGTATGGCTTTTAAAATTTGATACAAATATATGATGTATTATATATGAATTTCATCCATATTTACAAATTTATTATAATAAAATTTAAGTATGATACAAGTTAAAACCAAAATCTGGAATATCTGACTCAAATCCAATGGATACCCGAAAGTAATAATTTTGCAACTTTTTCTGATCAGCTGCGGCGGTAAGAATTGTGTTGACTTTTTTTCAAAAAGCTAACATACTATCTAATCTAAAATTTTAAAAAGTTAAATTTTAGACATGATGTATTGAATTTCTTGTAGAATGAAGATTCAACTATAAATTGGGTTGAAATATATCTTACATAATTATGTGCATATAATGAATTAATAATTATATTTGTTGATTGTTAGGTTTGTATGTATTGATAAATATCTGTGTATTAAAATTGTGCTCTACGAATTAAATTTATATTTCTTGTTATAAGGTTTAATTGTTCAATATATACGTGTTTCATGTTTCTTGTATATTTATAAATTATTTGATTTAACATAGTGTATATCTATACTAGTATTTAATAAGTAAATTTGCTTAGTTGTCATGTTCTCCATAAGTTTAAGTAATTTTATTTATTTATCATATTTTTAATATTTATATATAATTTATTTTATAAATACAACGAATTTATATGAATGTATCATATTTTTAGAAAATAAGATAATTCTTGTGAATTATGTTGTTATCTTGAAATATAATTTATATATAAAACTTAAATTTTAAATTAATATATAAAAATTATTATATTTATTATATAATTAAAATGAATTTATATTAATAATTTTATATTTTTCTAAAATAAGATAATTCTTATGTATTATGTTGTGTTGAAAATATATTTTCGTATTAAAAACTTAAAATTAAGATATAAAAATTATATTATTAATAATTAAATATAAATCATCAAAAAATTATTTGAAAAGTGAATTTGTTGATTTGTCTCCATAATCCTAGGTAATTTTTGACCATTTCTCAAAATTTCTCTAATTTTGTTTATTATTGACTATATAATTAAAAATAATTTATATTAATAATATGATATTTTAGAAAATAAGTTGCTTCTTATGTATTATGCTGTTATCTTGAAAATATATTTTTATATTATAAAGTTTAAAATTAACATGTAAAAAATCTATACTATTATTTAAGAAGTGAATTTGATGTTAGCTGATTTGTCATATTTTCCATAATTTTAGATAGTTTTGATAATTTATCATAATTTCTATATTTTTATATATAATTTATTATATATTTAAACAAATTTATATTAATAGTATCCGATTTTTAGAAAATAAGATACTTCTTATATATTAAGTCGTTGTCTTAAAAATATATTTCTATTAGAAATTAAATTAAGATATAAAAGTTGTATTGATTCTATAATCGAAATAAATTTACACTAATAATATTATACTCTTAGAAAATAAAGTAATTCTTATGTATTATGTTGTTATCTTGAAAATTTATTTTATATTATATAATTTAAAAGTAAAATAGAAAAATTATCTATTATTAATTAAATATAAATCATCACTCAAGAAAAAATATATGAGAAGTGAATTTGCTGATTCATTAAGTTCTCAATGATTTTAGTTAATTTTAGTTATATGACATAATTTCTATAATCTTATATAATTATTATATAATTATAACAAATTTATCATATTATATTTTTAGAAAATAAATAACTTATGCAATATATTGTTATCTTGAAAATATGTTTTCTATTATAAAATTTAAAGTTAAGATATAAAAAATTATAATTATAAATTAAGTAAAATATTTTTATAAATATTATAATTAAATATAAATCAAGTAAAATAGTTATAGAAATGTATTCTTTTAAATATTTCTGATATTTGAGCTTTGGTATTGATAATTATTTGATGTTTGATTTGTACTTTTTAAAAACATAAATAATAATGACTTATTATGCTGATTTTTAAATTAATAAAATATCAACTAATAAATATTCATAAGAGAATTATGTCCGCAAGTGCGAATAAAACACATAATTCAAATCAAACGTAAGTAATATCTTTTTATCGTAGAAAATAAAGAAATTAGTACTTAGTACCTATTAGTTATATAAATACCATTTCTGATATACATTTTTTATTGAAGATGGGTTATTGACTTGTGCCCCTTCATGATTGGTTTTGATCAATTAACAAAAAAGAAAGTGGTGTCATTAAGTTTCAAATGTTACCATATAAAATGGTTATGTGAGTTACGTGTATCCTGTTCGGATTTACATTATCTTATGATGATTAGCTGTAATCAGTCCTCGTGACAAAAAAAAAAAAAAGAACCTGTAATCAGTCGAATAATTTGTTTTATATTCAACATCAGATCACGTAGGGATTATATGCGGACAACTAGTCTATACTATTATTTAGGAAGTAAATTTGTTTAGTTGTCATGTTCTCCATAAATTTAGGTAATTTTGTTTATCTATCATATTTTAATATTTATATATAATTTATTAATAAATAAAATGAATTTATATGAATATATCATATTTTTAGAAAATGAGATAATTCTTGGATTTATGTTGTTATCTTGAACTATATTTTTATATATAAAACTTCAATTTTAAATTAACATATAAAAATTATTATATGTATTATATAACTAAAAGGAATGTATATTAATAATTTTATATTTTTGT